CGAGCAGGGAGCCCGATGCGGGACTCGATCCCGGGACTCCAGGATCATGACCTGAGCCGAAGGCAGTCGCTTAACCAACTGAGCCACCCAGGCGCCCCAGGAGTAGTTAATATGTGAATTTTTAAAGAGAGATTAGTTCTTTGGGCTTTATGGGTTAGAAGGAAAAGTCGGGACAGAATATATACAATTGTAATACAAACAATTTGACATAGGTAACAAAAATATTCTCATCATTTCTTTTAGTATACTTGAATTCTCAGTAGTAGTGAATAACAAGTTTCTATGTGCTAAAATCCAGGATTACCATGGAAGTCACAGAAATCAAACCAAATATCAGCATTCCTGTATTATGTACGATCACTGATATTTTTTAAATGTACAATTTTGTGTATTACAGTAGGGAAAGTTTATACCAAAATTGTGTATACTGGTTTTAAGCAGCCTATGTGACTTATTTGGATATGTCTTTAAGGCATATCTTCAATACAAAATCTAAAATACTACAAACCCTGATTCTACTTATTAGTTTCTTAAGGTGAATTTCTTTCTGTGCCTCTGCCTTCTGTTTTAATTAAGTATGGGTGGGTCTGCAAAAGAAGCATCATGCTTTTAAAGGTTAATTGTTTTAAGGAAAAATGAATCCATGAACTCCCAGTTTCTGATAAAGGGACATCCTTTTAACAGACTAAACTGTATTCTTATTTTGAATTTGAAATTAGACTATTGGTCATGCATTTTTATAGCTAGTGGAAAGGGGGGAAGAAATTGTCAAAACTATTTTTCAAAGGAATAAGATTATGTGTATGTTTATGGTGGAATTAGAAGTGATTGCCTAATTGAAATGCAGATCTACTGTAGCATTTTGTTAGTCCAAAATAATTAGATAAATATATCCTCAGGGTCATGTTAAAATTTTGTTACATGCTCTTCAACTAGAATCCCTTTAGGATATTAAACCTTTCATGTTACTTACCTAAAAAAGTTAAGTGGGTGTGGTTAAATTAATGTGATGTTTTTACACAAAAATCATTGTGTGCAAATACTGTTCTCATTTAAGCACCCCGAAGCATCTGATTGCTTTTTCATTTGAGAAATCAGGCAAATTGGGTTCCCCCACACCACCACTATCTTTTTTTCTCTATACATTAATGTTCCAGTGATTTCCAAAATAGGATTTTGTGCTAGGTTGAGAGTTTCTAATGTCAGGAAGAAACTTGTTTTGCAGTGATTGAAAGTGACATTCCTCTGTTAGTACAACAGACATTTATTAAGCATTCTCCACAGACCATGTAATTGAGACTGAAACATTTTGGAGAATTAAAAGCTCACAGATAAGATTATATCATTTATGATGTAGGTTACATAATTATGATAATTTATGATTTGGGGTTGTTTTCCTTAAATTATAATAGGTACAGTTGTGTATACAACAAAGTAAGTGGATTTATTTGATTTTTCATTAGTTATGAAGGATTTGGGTTTGGTTTGGTTTTAAGATAAACATTGATTAAGGTTCCTAATTAGCAACATATTTAGTGATTGTGTTTCTGTGAGTGTGTATTATCTACTAGTTGTCAGAAGCTATGCTTTCTTTCTGAGTTTAACACAAGTTGATTTCAGGCAAAGCCACTCACCTCTCAGCCTCTATTTAAAATGGTTGGAGAAAATGGCATTTTAGGCAATTTATTTGCAAATTCTAGGCCAACCCTAAATTTTCAGCATCCCAAAAGGGAAAAAAGTAAAAGACTGATAGGTAATCAGCTTGAATTTAATTTTTATTATAAGATTATTCCAACTTTTGTGGTATTGAAGTATCCTTTTATGAAATGTTGATAGTATTATCAGTTGCTTTAAGTATCCTTACTTGGCAAAATAAAAAGTTGACAGTTCTGTATTGGTCCCCACTTTTTTTTTTTTTTAACTACTCCATGAAATCTAAAAGCCTGGGAACCACTAAGCCAAGGTCCTATGTAAAGTTCTGGGACTTACTATTTTATTAAGATATTAAAACAATACAGTTTTATTCATTTTGATACTTAGTTTGTACATATGAAATTTTTCACATATTACCATGTATTGAGGTTTCATGCAAAGTTATTAATGTATAAGAAATCATTTTTATTTCCATTCAAATGTACTGTCATGGAATGGATCCAAACTAAGAGTAATGGCTATCCAACCTAATCCTTTATTTAAAGCATTAAATAAAATACACAACACACAGATTTAGAAAGGTTAATTAGGTATATGCCTTTCCTGAGAAAAGTCTATATTTTTGTGGACTTAAGTATTTCATAAACAAAAGAATTGCATAAGTTAACTAAAGTTGCCAGGAATTAGGACAAAGGGGAAAGAATGGGAATAAGATTTTATCAAATTGGTGAATATAGTTAGGATTATAGATTAGGGGTATCGATATGGTATTACCCCCAAAATCTGAATAACAAGCAGTACAACCTCAAACATGAACAGTAGAATGCCAAGCTGAGAATGTCAGCTAGACATTGTATAAACTAGATGTTCTTCTCTTTCAGTCGCACCTATTATCTGTGAGAATAGACTCTTTCTTTTTAGTTCTTTCAGCCTTTCTCTTACAGATCAGCGGAAGTCAATTTCTGTTAAGACCTGGTTCTCCTGGGGTGCCTGGGTGGTTCAGATGGTTAAGTGGCTGCCTTCAGCTCAGCTCAGGGCATGATCTCAGGGTCCTGGGATAAAGCCCCATATCAGGCTCCTGGCTCAGCGAGGAGTCTGCTTCTCCCTCTCCCTCTCCCTCTGCCTCTCCCCCCTACTCATATTCCCTCTCTCTCTCTCTCTCTTTCTCTCTCTGTCACATGAATTCAAAACAAAACAAAACCTGGTTCTCCCGAGTGCTAGTTCAAAAGTTGTTTTCATTTGTAAGTACACAGAGTCTTATAGATTCCCAGCCTTATGTTTAAAATAATTGTGGATATTGCCCACCTGCCTACATGCTTATGACTGTGGGATAAATTATTTCTTCTGCTGATAATACTGCCTACTAACATTTTCATTATTGGGTTAGGCAATGAGTGGCTGATCTAACTCCATATTCAAGATAGACATGAGAGATTATGTCTCTTACAGCCCTATCATCCATTACAAAAAATCTGTTATATTTCAAAATCTCCCAAGCATGAAAAGGTAGAGTTCCGTTTATGTACTCCATCTGCACAGAAATCCTTTTTCTTTATCCTAAACTTTCTTGATACAGGCTTCCTTCATTCTAGACCAGAAGGCTGTGTATTCACTTTAATACCATTATTTTATTCTTTAAAAATTCCTCAGCCTTCATCTTTCCAACTTGTCGTCTGCCCTATAGCCATCACATGAACCTTTTCCTGATCTCTTCACCTCTACGTCCCTTCCAGTGGAGAGCATTTTGATCATCACTTAAAGCAACCAATTCACTTTTAATACTATTTCTTTTAGGATCCACTGGGAAGCTGCTTCTAGCACAGAAGCTTAAATACATTGGCTTTCCATTGCTGGTTACTGCTTCTATTCTGACCCTGGATGCCACCTAGTGTAGACTCTGAAGTAAAAATATTAAACCATAAATTACATTTAATTTAACATTGCCATCCAGCATATGAACTTGAGTTAAGTCCCTGTTCCTCTAGTACCTTTGTACCCCCAAAAGTCTGGTCACTTGTAGCAGTTTGCAGTTTATGGCTTTGTTACACCTTTATGCTTTTGGCATCTTGTTTCCCAAAGTCCTTGGTCATGCTACATATTCACTTTTTTTTGAATCCCTGAGAAAGAAAAATCTCAGATTTTATCATTACAATATACCCAGTACCCAAAACAATTACAAGCACATAGCAGGTACTCAAAACTTGTTTTCATTAGTAAGAGATTTGAATGTAATTTTTAAAGGATACAATGGTAATCCCCCAAAAGTCAATATTTCTGTCTTATTCTACCTCCAAGTCCTGGTTATCTTTCTTTTTTTCAAATTTGCTCCTTTATATCCAGTATTATAAACATTTGAACATGCTTATTAGGAAAATTTACTAAGTAGATATCTTACCCTGACAAGATTGGCTATAATTTAGTCTAATCAATACTTCTGTGCCTAAACTTCTAGTATAA